AATCTTTAACAGGAATTATCCCAATCCAGCAGCACAAGCATTGCCCATGCTAGGCGCACTGCTCAGGACAAGGCTTTCCATCCATTTGTTGCTCAGTTTGCAAGGCAGGAGAAACAGTGACTAAAAATCCACTAATCCAACTAAATGCAATTGATGGGAAATGCAGTACAAAAATAAACAGTTCCAACGGCTATTACTAGGTTTAAGTGTTCAACTTTTTTGTGCTTGCAAGAATATAGCTTCAGGTTTCTAGTCATTAGTTTTTCATGTAGTTTATAAAAAATTGCAGATTAAAAAGCCTTTTCCCCAAGTAAGTGCTTGCAGAGCACACTAACAGCAAGTCTATAAAGATCTAGATAAAGTACAAAATTTCTCATGTGTTTACCAAAAGGCAAGCTATGTACAGTAAACACTATAATTCTTTTCTGAACTATTACTAATTTATCAGCATTCACTCCCTCAGCTACTGCCTCAGACTTGAGGTTCGTATTCTGTTAGCATCCACGTAACAGAGATCCCTGCCAAAGCATCTTCCACTCTAAACAGAGGCTTTGCACACTTGCATGCGTGACCTTGTTGGTAAACTAAAATACATGTGGTGCAAACAAGTTCAGCTTATTTCATGATCTGGATCCATCTGTCAAGGGGACCTATCCCCAGTAGCGTGCATCACCCCTGCAATTCATGCATCTATAGATGACACTGATTTTTCTGGGGATTTTGTCTGGGTTGTTTTCTTGTTGGTGTTTGGTTGGTAGTAAATGGAATTAGGGCAAGGCACACCTGCAGGAAATAGGCACTGGAGAATTTAAATGTGAAATTGGCTAGATTTAAAAAAAGACATTCACAAATTCAGTATTTATTTTAAATGGGCCACGTCTGTTGGAAATCTGTTTTCATCGAAGAATAAACACTGTTAAGCACTAGCTGTTGAGGTTAAAGAGCTGTCCTAGACGATTAGTGGCTCTTAGGGACTGTACATCAACACAGGGATCCTCCATGGGTATGAAAGACAAAAAGAAATCTTTAAGTTAACTGTGCACCTGATACAAGCTCAATGTGTTGCATGAGGAACTGATAGCTGAGCTTCAAAGATATTGCATGCTTTCAGCTTAGCCAGAACTTCCTCAAGACTAAGTTTAACTATAAAACTCATATTAAACAACAAACTCGTATCAAACAGCATAATTCAGTATATTCCAGACCTTTCATTTCCCATACAGACATTTACCAAGTCAAATATCCTCAGACAAGATGCGTCATGTCTTAACATGACTATTCAAGCTAAGACTGTGGCAACTCCAAAACTCCATCAGTATAAAAATATTATGCTCTATTTAAATAAGTCTAACATTGCAATTGCTTTTTTTTCTAAAAAGTGGAAACACTTAAGCATCAAAGCAAGCCTGAGCTCATGAGGCAAATTCTGCTGCATGCAATTACTTAAACATAACCATCAACCTCTTCTTCCCAGTTCCTTCTTGTGGGATCCGTTTGTATCCAGTCTTTTTTGCTGCTGTCACCCTTGTCTCCTCTGAAATGCAACCATGAGGAAGGAGCTGAATCACACAGCAGCAACAAAACTCTATGCACCTTAAATATGAAGGAATTACATATTTCACTGTTATCTTGCACTGCAGCTCAGCAGACAAGCTCAGGGACAGAGAAGGAACCTCCACAATAGACAACAGTACAGCAGCTGACCACTTGAACAGCTAATGGTAAATGCAGGATTATTATTTATAAATAAAGAATTAATAGCTTTCACACATCAAGTTACTCAAGTTTTGTTTTTAAAATATCCTCCATATTTCTGAAGTGTACAGACCTCCCAAAGAAACTTACTCAATTTACAGAAACAACAAATTTAGCTAAGAATTAATTCCTTTGTAGTGGTTTGTATAAGATCTTTTTCACTTTGTTTTTTTTGGTTGGGGTTTTTTGGTTTTTTTTTTTTTTTTTGCAATAACATTATTCCCTCTAAATTAACTAGGTGAGTGCATGCAGTTATCTGAATATGAATTTCCTTGTGTTTTCAGTATTTGCTGAAACTTTTCATTTGCGATTAAGTTTCTGGACCACAGAGAAAAGAAGAGCTCTTCAATTAGAAAGCTGAAAAAATGTGCGTTTGAAATGAGCTTTCTCCAAAAAGCTGAAATGGCTGCTCTTAAAATTAAGAGAAACAGATAAAACCTGATGCATTAAAAATTCTTCAAGTGTGTTGCTCAGGTTTACTGGCCTTTTTTATAAAAGCACTTCAAAACTTGTTCTCCTATGGCCTGTACCTCTACAGGCACGTGGTTTCTAACGAAGGATTTAGCAAAGCTGAAGCTGTTGGTAAAATGTGTTTATTGATGCACTGGGGGGAGAATCAGCCCCTTCCAGAGCCTGTCCTGGCAGAATCAAACTGCATGTAGGAAAAACATCTGCAAACGGTCACTTGTAAATTGTCTTTTGTTATCAAAGTAAATTCCTGGAACCCAGTGCCTTGCCGCACCCTTTAGAGAGATTAAGCACCTACAAACCACTACTCCCTGGTAACAGAGGTTGAAGGCTCAACTACTCCTTCATTTACATGGTGAGTTAAACCACAGGCTTGGATCTGGTAGAGTGAATTTTACTTTCTTGTCCAGGAAATCAGTAATTCCTTCATCCAAATATTTCGTTTTTCTAACCTGTATTCACATTGGATGATGAATTTTTCTGTCAAGAGGACATATAAATATTTCCAGACCCACCATAATGTAGAATTAAATATTTAAGCCACAGGCACTTTGACTAAAGAAACTAAATGACAAAAGATGTTTATCCCTCATTCCTTTTTCTCACATTCTTTTTGGAAACTGTAGAGAAGATTAGAAGTTATTTGTCAGGATTGTTGTCAGTTTTGCCACAAATCCCAACAGATATGCTGCATGTTCAAACAAATCACATCCACCATCCGTGGAAGAAGCAGCATTTTAAAAAAACAGAATTATGATATACTACTTACACTTCCCCCCACCACCACCCATTTCTTTGAACAGGATTTAAGACTTTCTTTTTTCCTCACTAACCATGGGAAAAAGGCTAACAAGAGTATTCTACCTTCACTAATTATGGAAGAGGAAAGATGCAACTGAAGACAGATTTCTACCAACAAGCGAAAACAGGAGAGGCAGAATTAGCAGCAAAGTATCCGATAGCTCTGAACCATCAAAGCGTGCACATGAGAGCAAAATTCCCAAGAGGCTCAATAAGATCTAAATTTTTGTTTCAGGAACACCACTCATTTCTTACAAGAGCTGCTGTCTGCTCACATTATCCCAAAATGAAACCTCATGCTTCTTGCCCTAAGCCAAAGTCTGATGGACTCCACTAACTCCTTGTTATGTAGTTTCTTCATTATTTGCTCCAGTGTTTCCCTGGTATAAAATTTTAACATGTGAGGAAGAGATAAATTAATTCCTCTCTCTCCTATAGACTGCCTGAGAGAGGCCATTTAACCATGATGTTAATGACCGAAACTGGGAAAAGGAAGAAACATCAATCCATCCACAAATGCTCAGAAATGTAAATGCTTGGCAAATTAACAATAGCCTGGGGAACCTGAGAGAAATCTTCCAGGTCTGTTCAAAATAACAAGTTTGGTGATTTTCTTAACTTTAACCAAGACATCTGAAAAAGGATTATTTTTTTTTCCTCCCATGGATCTAACTGCCATTAATAGTGGCAGAGACAGAAATGCCTCAGTGCTGCCCAATGTATAGGGAAAGAGACAGGGCGCTAGGGCTCATGGTGAGCTGGGAAGCCCCAAGAGCCACCACCCCGAGACAGCCCGTTGGACAAGCAAACCGATGGGGAACATGTCCACACAACAGAGATCAGGGGCAAGCGCTGGTCCGCAAAAAAAAAAAAAAAAAACAAACCAAAACAAACAAAAAAAAAACTAAACAAACAAACAAACAAACAAAAAAAAAAAAAAACAGGGAAAAACCCTCTGGTTCATTTTTTTGGTGTCAAAACCCCAAAGAAGAAACTGTAATCCCCCAAATTCCACTGCAATAAATCCCAGAGCTACAAACCACTCCCAGAAGTGAGGACGAATGTATCACACTTCATCTCTGTTAGTAGACGGACACTTCCCTGAAACTGATCCTGATCTTCCTGATTTCTACAGCATTTGGACCATCTCAGAAATCTGAGAATCCTGCTCAGTTACCTCCCACTTAGTGCAAAATCATGCAAACCAACAACAGTTGTCTACAATATACATATATTAAAAAAAATTCTAAAAATGCATCATCCCTGTCACATTTAATTAATGGTTACATGTTAATGTGTAAAACTAGAAGGGAAGGAGATTTTCCAGCAATACCTTTTTCAAACCACTCTTCTGGTGCTCAGTTCTGGATACTATACTGCAGTGGTAGCCATCTATTTAGCTGATGAGTTTATTAAGACAGAGAGAGCAAGGTGCTCACTCAGCCATGAATTTAGGAACATTACCTGTCACAGTTAAATTGTGCCAGATCCCAAACAGCTCTCTTGGCAACTTGGCAGATCACATCACGCACTGAAGTATCAAAGCAACCTAACTCTGAGTAGGAAAATTCAGCAGCTAGTCCCAACAGATTACCTTTCCAGTCAATGGAGTGAGAGGAGCACTTCCAGAGACTGCTCTGGGACAATAATTGTGGTACTCTGAGATGGAAAGTACTTCTCTCTCTGAATTGATCACGTAAAAGAGACCAGCTTCATACATATCTAAATTTGGTACTTGAAGTTAGGCAGCATGAATACTTCCCTAAGGTGTCAACTCCTCACCTTTGCATCCAACTGCTTCTAAAGGTCTCCAGGCTCTTCCATGTGAAGAAGAACTTGGAAGCTTGTAAAAGGAACTGGAAAGAGAGTGGGATAAATCAGCCTAGCTGCCTCAGGAGGAGTGACTGCTCTTTCAGAGAACCAAAGGACATGACCAGACAAGAGAAAGAGGTGATGTAGAAGGGTCCACTTCTTACCTGCCAAAACTCTGACTTCTGCATCATTTCCAGTTCTTGAGCTGGCTGGGTTTTTCGCCAGGCATCTGTAGATCCCGCTGTCCCCATGCTGAACCCTGCTGATCTGTAAAGCTCCGGAGGGCAGGACGGCCACCCGCGTGTCAGACGGGCTCAAGAACAAGTCCTCCTGGTTTCGCTGCCAGTGCACCACAGGCATGGGCTCCCCAACGACTTCGCACTTCAGCAGAATCGTGTCTCCTGCAAAAGCCGTGACAGATTCTGTCTGGGAAAGAAACCTCAGTGGTCCTGCAAACAGAAGAAAAAAAAAAAAAAAAAAGAAAAGGCAGTTATAGAGCTGCAGAAAGCAGAAGTTGCACACTGTTTCCATGCTGATTTGGATGTTGCTAATAATCCAGACTAAAAAAAAAAAAAAATAGTTTATGTGAGGTTCTGAAAACTACTTGGAGGTTGCTATAATGATGGGGTGACTAACACTTTGCTTTGCAAATTACATTCATTAGCAGCAAAAAAAAAAGATACGTTATCAACATAAAGAGTAACAAATTGCACCTGTTACAAGCCCACGCAGGAACAACTTTAACAAAGTACACATACATAATCGTGAAATGCAGACTACTCAGAACAGGGTGGCATTCAAGGGAACGCACAGCTAAACCTACATAAGGTTAGGAAAATGTTAGTCACATCTTGCTGCATTTCTCCTTCCCTCCAAATAAAAGGAAAAATACTCTAAAAAGACTCTACTAAATAAGTTACTTGGGTCACATAATCAAAATATTTTGAACGGGGATTGGCCCATGTCTGTTTTTCCATGAAACATTTTTGACCTACAAGGGCAGGAGAGAAGAGCTGGGAGATTTAACTGCAAAGCCCCAGATGTCCCACCCTCACTTGGTGCAAAAACACAAGGATCACATCTTTCACATGCTACAGAAGAAAACCTGGCAGGAACAGAACAGGGTCTGAAAGATTCAGCATGCAAGTGAAAGATGATGTCTAGATAGACCATGGACTTTATTACCTGGAAGCATTGCTGCTTGACAAATAGCATAAATAAACTTGCAAAGAAGGAAAATAAAATAAAATAAAAATAAAAATAAAAATAAAAAAAAAAAAAAAAAAGGAAAAACAATTATTAAGCTTTCTTTCCAGCCGAATATGAAAAGGACAAATCAAGGAGATAGGCTGAAGCAACTGCTTGAGTCAGGGATGTAGTAGAGATGATGTGGACGTATTTTGGGGACCTGCTCTGGTTTTAGTCCTGGCCAGTCCCTAGTAATGACCCTACCAGCCCCCAGCCCACTCGGCACATGCCTGCCTTCAGGGACTATTGAGCCATATCAGTAAATATGGTCACTAGGAGGTGTGTGCAAACAGGCACCACGTGTTTGACAGAGTAGGCAACTTACAAGACAACACTAAAAGCCACCAAAAAGTACATAGGAAACAATTCTCTTTTAGATTAACATCAGCCAGTATTCAGTGAAGGCTTTCAAAAAGGAGCTGTCAGTAGAGGCTATTAAGAAGCTGATGAAGCAAACAATAAAGACCCCAACTTCCCAGGGATTAAAATGCTACCTAAATATTCAGCAGATCAGTACTGGGGAATGACTGTGTACTGGAAAAGGCATCTGAGTGGGTGCCCCACGTTCATTGCCCAGTTGGAACACTGGTGTGCTTTTGGCCCCCATCGCTTGTCTCTGTTCTCCTCAAAAACGTTGCTCGTGTCTTGCAGAGCATCTGCAAGGAGGAGATCCCACCAGGCAGGTGAAGTGCTGCCATGAGCTGAAGCAGAGAAATTCTTTAGCAGAGAAATTCTTTAGCACAACAGAAACTGACTTGGTGAAGGCTTCCAACACAAAGAGCCTACGTGAATCTGCGGTTGTGTGGGCAGTGGTATTTCCCAATTTCCATGTTTACAAGTTATCTCTAGGACCAACATGAGTGAAAAGGCAGTCATCCATACAAGCCCTGCCACCCCCGCATGCCTCCCCGTCACAGCGAAGATGCTACTTTCCAGCAGAGCTATTGGCACAGATGCACCAGGAACAGCTTTTCACCCCCAGCCAAGCTGGCTCAAGCTAGAAAAATAGAAGCATTCAACACTTTAATAAAAATAAATAAATAAATAAATTTGAAGATAAACACAGTATGAACAATGATGGGAAGTTGTTGAAAACTGTAGATTCTTCCAGGAAGAAAGACAGCTAAATTAAAAAACTTACTGTAAAGACTAGGACTAAAACAACTGCCATGGAGGGACTTTTTCTATGGCAGCACCATACCTGCTATGCCCCCCACACACAGCCATCTCACATCTTGCTCTGTCTCTGCACCATCTCCCAGGTATTCTAATTGTTTTTCTTTTAAAGTTTAAAAAAACATAATAAAATCTATGCAGAACAGATCAGGATGTTGCAAAAAGCCTTTTGCTGTGTCCCAATGAAGACACTAGCCACCTTTTCCCATGATTATGTTCAAAACTCATTCATCGCTCTGCAGGACCATAATATATGAGATCTTAAAACTATCACTGGGTCTTTACAGCTCTCCTGGCTTACGCTGATTTATTTTAAAGACAGATTTTGAAGCTACGCAGATGTTTGGTTTGTCGGGAGCTAGCTCCAGGGAACAGACCAGCAAATACATTCTGAGAAAGTCACTTTCTGAGACTGGAATTAAACATTGCAGATCCTCAATGATGCTTCATTCTTTAGCCAAAGGGTTGCTGATGCACCTCCCTGCGTTATACCCAAACCTACTTAGGAAACTTAATTGAAAGTGGTACCCAACTCTGATTTACCACACAGACTGGTTGGCAGCCTATCAGGCTCCCCATCTTTCCTTACAGAAGACCCAATTATTAAGCAATTAAAGTTCACTTAATAAAAAGGCTTATCATTTGGGGGACAGACCTCAGGGTCTGGAACATGTTTAGCTATTAAATATTCAGCAATTTAGTAGCACTCAGTACAAACCCCCAGAGAAGAACTGCTTTAAATGCTTTGTTTGTTTCAAATTAAAGTCTGCAAGGTTACTTAACATCAAGACAAGACCTTTTTTTCACTTTCAATTCACATAATAGCTGAAGGGCAAGAAACCAAGGTAATGAAAAAGAGTGATTTCCTTCTGCTTGCTTCAGAAAATAGGAAAAAGAGAAAGCATGGGTGAGTGAATCTAGAAATGTAAATATTTCAGAAACTGTTGTCTAATTCTCTCTTCCATAGGCTGGTTTCCAAAAAGGTGCTATAGTTTAGTTACACTATACTCTTTTTCATTTGCTAACTCCAGTTTACAATTCTGAAAGGATTTACACTGAGTAATGTATAGCAGAATATCAGAACAAGACCCATAGAATTCATCAAACAATCCAAATGTAGACGTGGTATTCGACTTCAGCCATAGAAACAGGAGCTAAATAAAATGTTCTGCTTCTTGTTGCAAACCCCACTCTACGAGACTGGAAACCCTACATCTCAGAGGAGATAAAACTGATTAAAAACTAGACACTCATATTTCTGATTTAGAAGAAACTAACCAGGAGGAGGAAAAAAAGAAAAAAAAAAAATCAAGTTATCAATACGCACACTCAGCAATATTACCAGCCAGGGAATTCCTGCAGAACAGTACCAGGCAACCACTCCTAGTACTGGCTGTCAGCCTAATGAGAAGGACTCAAAGGGAAGGATATTAATATTACAAGAAAATGAATATTAATAAGATATCTTACGCCTTTGCATTTTTTATATATGAAATTTGGGAAGCTAATAGATAGAAGTTAAACCAATTTGCCACAAAGGGCACCTCGGTGGGAAGTGAAGAAGAGGAAGGTGCCTTACTGTCTGACAAGATGGGGATGGAAAGTTCCCCAGTGTTTCAAGAGCAGAAGAGGCCAGAAGACAATGCATCAAGTAACTGTAGGCCTATTTACTATTAGCTATTTTCAACAGGAGAAGAGTTCAACCTCTCCTCAGACTTGTGCCTAATATTGGAAATACTTCATCCTGCTGGATGAACTGGAATATTTCAAACAACACTTACCAACCACCAGATAGGACTCTATTCCAAGCAAGCCAGAAGAAACACAAAATCTTAGCAAGGAGATGCTAATTTGCTCTACGGTCCTGTTTTCCAGCTGCACTCAGTGCTTCAGCCATTGGCATGCTATACATAAGACCATCTTCTCTTATTAGCGTTTATTTTTAATCAAATTCACATGGTTAAGCTAAAAATATATGAACATTGTTAATGTGTAAGCATTTGGCCTTCATGCCTAAATTAGGCTGCCCATCTCCCAAGGCTTCAGGAATCCTCTTGCCTTCACATGGCTGGGCAACCCATGGGGGTTACCTAAATTAAGTGACTACATGTTAATTGTATTAATACCCAGATGGGATTGATCAATTAAGAGTTGACCAACACAGCATCTATTTTTTATTTTTCTTAAATAAAAAGCACTCTCAGCATTCTGACTACGCAAGGCATATGTAAATCCCATCAAACCACCCCTGAACATAAAGTACTGCAACTCCGACTGCGATGCACAGAGCTGGTCCCCACTGGCAGATCACATCACATACAAATACGCCACGAAACAGGGAATATAGAGGTGTCTGATGCTTGTGATTTATGATGTGAACATATGATTACCTTGATTTCTTCTGACTCTGGAGAGGCACTGTAAAGGACTGTGTCAAGACTGTGCTTGCCTTAGCGGATGTCTGTCTCAATATTGCTGAAACATCTTGCTTCAACGGATGTCTGTCTCAACATTGCTGGAACGTTACACCTCAGCAACTGTCCGACCACAAAGTCACACATTTCCTGACTACAGAACAGAATACCCTTACCCTTGCACATGTGCCCAGACCCGGGAACAGGCTGGAAATCCCCCACAGAGACGGTACTGGGCATGTGCAGCACTGCCGAGTGTTGGTTGAGCCTAAACAGAACAATTCTTAGAATATGCTAATCGATTCTTGGGAGGAGCAATGACACCTCAATAAAAGAACCACTACGACCAGCATCAAATGGAATTCCCCACCTGACGTGAAGTCCATTTGGACTGACGGGACACCGCAGCTCTGTGGTGGGAGCTATTGCACTCCTACTTTCTTTTTTTTTTCCCCTCTCTCTCTCTCTTTCTTGCATCTATGCAAATGTTTATGTAACTATTCAACTTCTTTTCTTTATGGCATCTGACCTGGTTTGTGTCTTAATCTCATTCTGGGAATAACAGTGGATCTCCCCAGACTGGATCTTTCCAGGTCAGGATGTGCACATTA